ATGAGTATATCCTCACTTTCACCCGCATGTGCCTTTTTGCGGACGACGCAGTGAAAACCGATGCCAAGAAGGCCCGCAAGTTTCTCAAGGGGCTCAACCAGAGGATCCGTGAACTGGTGGGAAGTCACGGGCCGATGTCTTTCACCGACACTGTTAGTCGGGCTCAGGAGGTAGAGAGCTGTCTCATTCCGATAGCTCCAGTTCCTTCTTATTATCATGCCTCCCAGCCATCTCAGACCGTTGTCCAGCATGCTCAGCCCATCTCATCTGTGCCGCCCGGCTCTAGTTCGGGCAAGAGGAAGTCCGACTTCCAGAACAAGAAGAAGGGTAAGAAGGGAAATTTTGATAGGCGCGACAACCGATCCTCCACTGTCCAAACTTGCCCAAAATGCGGCCGATCCCACATTGACGAGTGCCTAGCTAACCAACGCAACTGCTTCAACTGCAACCGTCCGGGACACTATGCCAATGTCTGCCGTGAGCCAAAGAGGCAGCAACAACAACAGTCGCCCTACCCTCAGCAGCAGCAGCAGCTTCCCCCACCACCCCCACATCAGCAGCAGCAGCCCCCACCGTTCCAGCAGAGGGCTGGGGGTCAGGCCCGAGTCTATACCATCACCCATGATGAGGCCGCTCGCAATGCAGGTACCATGCCCAGAATGCTTTCGATATCCCATGTGCCTGTTTTTGCTTTATGTGATACCGGTGCTACCCATTCTTTTATCTCTTCTTGCTGTTTGGAGGCCTTATCTATTAGCACCGTGCATGCTTGTGATCTCCTCGAGGTTAGTTTGGCCTCGGGAAAAATTATTATCTCTGATTCAGTGGTTCGCAATCTTCCTATCTGTATTGGTGGTCGAGTTCTGAAGGCCGGCGTCTATGTAACTGATATGCGAGACTTTGACGTGATCTTGGGCATGGACTGGCTCACACGTTACCGAGCCGATATTCGGTGCCAGGAGCGCAAAGTCACCCTCCATCCCATTTCCGATCAGCCCGTTGTGTTCTTTGGGGTGAGTTAGAGGACTATGCCACGGGTCATCTCTTCTATGCAAGCTAGGAAGAGCCTTTCCAAGGGTAGCTGTCAAGGCTATCTTGTTTCCATGGTATCCGACGTCGTTGATGAGCGGGTGCCCGAGAGAGTATCTATTGTTTGCGAGTACCTCGACGTCTTTCCTGATGACTTACTTGGAGGACCGCCAGACCGCCAGGTGGAGTTCACCATTGACCTAATTCCCGGAGCCGGCCCTATTTCTAAGGCCCCTTACCGTATGGCACCGAAGGAGCTTCAAGAGCTCAAGGCCCAGATCCAAAAGTTGCTCAAACTTGGTTTTATTCGTCCGAGTATTTCGCCGTGAGGTGCGCCCGTCCTATTCGTGAAGAAGAAAGACGGATCTATGCGTATGTGCATTGACTATCTGGAGTTGAATGCCCTTACAATCAAGAACAAGTACCCCCTTCCCCGTATTGAGGACCTTTTCGACCAGCTGAGAGGAGCCAGCGTCTTCTGAAAGATCGACTTGTGTTCTGGCTATCATCAGCTGAGGATCCGGGAGTCGGATATTTCCAAGACTGCTTTCCGTACCCGCTATGGCCACTATGAGTTCGTAGTCATGCCGTTCGGACTCAGCAATGCCCTAGCCGTTTACATGGACCTTATGAATAGGGTCTTTAATCCTTTTCTGGACCAGTTCGTCATTGTGTTCATCGACGACATTCTGGTCTATTCCCGAGATATCGATCAGCACAAGGAGCATCTGAGGATTGTGCTGGAGACTCTTTGCCGCGAGAAGTTGTATGCTAAGTTCTCGAAGTGCGAGTTCTGGCTGAACCGTGTGGCATTCCTTGGCCACATTGTGACAGCTCGAGGCATTGAGGTGGATCCCAGCAAGATTGAGGCGGTGAGCAAATGGGATACGCCAAGAAGTGCTGCAGATGTTCGTAGTTTCCTGGGGTTAGCAGGATACTACAGGAGGTTTATCAATGGCTTCTCGAAGATAGCCCAGCCACTGACCAACCTTACGAAGAAAGCCATGAGGTTCCATTGGAGTCCTCAGTGCGAGGAGAGTTTCCAGGAGTTGAAGAGGAGACTCACTACCGCGCCTGTCCTATCCATACCCGACCCCACTTTGGAGTTCACCATCTATAGTGATGCTTCGAAGATGGGCTTGGGTTGTGTTCTCATGCAGCAGAGGAAAGTCGTAGCCTATGCTTCGAGGCAGCTGAAGCCTCACGAGCAGAATTACCCCACTCATGATCTCGAGTTAGCTGCAGTTGTCCACGCTTTGAAGATTTGGCGGCACTACCTCTATGGAGGCAAGTGTGAGATCTTTACCGACCACAAGAGCCTAAAGTACATTTTCACTCAGAAGGAGCTGAACATAAGGCAGCATAGGTCGTTGGAGCTGGTCAAGGACTACGATTGCACCATTAGCTATCACCCCAGGAAAACTAACATGGTAGCCGATGCCCTTAGCCGGAGGAGTTATGGCCAGCTGTCTTGCCTATTCACCAGACAGGATGTTCTTCTTCGGGAGTTCGAGCGATTACAGCTGGAGGCAGTGGAGTCGACTTCGACAGCCGGGGACATGTTGGCCTCTTTAGTTGTGGGACCGACTCTTCGAGAGAGGATAGTTGCTGAGCAACCGAATGACCGTTTCTTATGCCGGATGAGAGAGTTGTCGGAAACCGATAGAATTGGTGGATTCGCAGTCGCATCTGATGGGGCTTTGGTCTTCGAGGGTAGACTTTGTGTCCCGAAGGTGTGGGAACTGCGAAGGGAGATTCCGAGAGAGGCCCATAGTGCCCCGTACACCATCCATCCTGGTAGCACGAAGATGTATCAGGACCTGAGGAAATATTTCTGGTGGCGAGGCATGAAGAGGCAAGTAGCGAAGTTCGTAGATGGGTGCCTGGTGTGTCAGCAAGTGAAGGCTGAGCGCCAGAACCGAGAGGGTTGTTGCAGCCCCTTGAGGTTCCCCTATGGAAGTGGGAGTGCATCACCATGGATTTCTTAGTGGGACTGCTGAAGTCGAGGGGCGGGTATGATTCGATTTGGGTGATAGTGGATCGCCTTACGAAGTCTGCCCATTTTTTGCCAGTCCGGACGACCATAAAGGCGAGTGATTACGCCGAATTGTTCATCAAGGACATTGTTAAGCTTCATGGGGTGCCCGTGGAGATTGTTTCGAATCGAGATGCCAAGTTCACATCCCAGTTCTGGAGGACGTTGCACCGGGCCATGCGGACGAGGTTGGAGTTTAGTACAGCCTTTCACCCCGAGACAGATGGTCAGTCGGAGCGTACGATCCAGTACTTGGAGGATATATTGAGGGTTGTGGCCTTGGATCGAAGCCTGACTTGGGAGTATGCCCTTGCGCTAGTCGAGCTGACCTACAATAACAGCTACCACTCTTCGATCAAGATGGTCCCGTACGAGGCTTTGTATGGGCGTAAGTGTTAGAGGTATGCTGTAAAAGCTGTGTTTTGCAGTTTCTATCAATTCCATT